TTTTTAAACCTTATTTAAAAGCTTCTGTATGTTGCACTGCATGTTTCAACTCACACTGGTCTTCAGCAGATGTTTAAATTGCTTGTGAAAATTGCTGTGCTTCCATGTGTTACTTCTGCACATAATCCATTCAGAAGTTGAGGATCAAGCATACTTAAAACTTCACTCTGTGTTCTTCCCCCATAGTGACAGCTAGAGTTTCAGTCATAACAGATGTCATATTTATCATGTTCTAATTTTCAGTCTTTTTAAGGAGGAAATAATATAAAATATTCAAATTTTTGTTTTCACTTACTTCACAGATTTAATTGCATCTCAAATGGATCCTTACAGCATTATCAGTACTGGCTTCCATAATAAGATGTACCGATACAGATAAGTTGTAAATGTAAGGTTTTTTCTAAACATGTTACTGTATANGCATTATTTATAAAATGCCCCCTGCATTCTGGTAATGAGATATAAACATATTGTGACATTAGTTCTCTCTGTATTTATTTTTAAAGTAATTTCATTTCTATCTAACAGCACTAATATGTTTTCTTATTCAACAAATGTCACCAATTCACCGTCTTACATGCAAAGCATCCTTCTAAAGCTTATTTAAAATTTTTTTACATCATACAATATGTCTTTTTAAACCTTATTTAAAAGCTTCTGTATGTTGCACTGCATGTTTCAACTCACACTGGTCTTCAGCAGATGTTTAAATTGCTTGTGAAAATTGCTGTGCTTCCATGTGTTACTTCTGCACATAATCCATTCAGAAGTTGAGGATCAAGCATACTTAAAACTTCACTCTGTGTTCTTCCCCCATAGTGACAGCTAGAGTTTCAGTCATAACAGATGTCATATTTATCATGTTCTAATTTTCAGTCTTTTTAAGGAGGAAATAATATAAAATATTCAAATTTTTGTTTTCACTTACTTCACAGATTTAATTGCATCTCAAATGGATCCTTACAGCATTATCAGTACTGGCTTCCATAATAAGATGTACCGATACAGATAAGTTGTAAATGTAAGGTTTTTTCTAAACATGCTACTGTATAAGGACTCTACTAAACATACACACACAGACACATATCTTCATAAGCAGTAACATGACATTAAATTGTGCATTAATGTCAGAGCCAAATTTTGTGACCTTAACTTAAAGAAACTGAAGTCATAACAAAAACTACATTTCTCTGAGATTTAGAAGTAGCACTTAAAGTTCATTATTGGTCCATTACACCTATTAAATCCTATGTTTGGCAAGTAGGTCTGTGGTTTTGATGCTGAAAACACAAGAACATCCATTTCCTGGTCAGGAAACACACGACACTATACAAATTTACTGTTTCACACAAAAGCAACACAATGTATTCTCAATTCAGGTCTTCCTCCTTACCCTCTTTATTGATTACAGTAATAATCAGAGACAAATACATAAGCTACTACACAATACTCAAGTCAAACAAATGATAATTACACTATATTACGATTTAAATATGATGATGTAAGCGAGATGGTTTGTTGCCAAGAGTGAGTCAGTGCCACAGATGTCCTCCAATCTTTCCATATATGCTGTTGGTGGAGTCTCTAGCTTCCATGGTGATAACTCCTGTGGATCCCTTGCAACACTGCCTGGAAACACTGTTTGACCAGCAACTCAGCTCGAGTAGCAGAATGGGTTACCATCCAAGCCAAAACTGCCCTCCAACCTGGAGCTGCTACTGCAGATGTCAGTGAAGTCAAGGACAACAGAGAAGACGATGAAACCTGTATATCAACATGACACACCACCTCACCATCAAGGTACAAAAGTATGTCACTCCATCACTGAAAATGTAGAACAATCTCTTCATTGACTCCCAGGAAGGAGGGCTGTTTCCTTCAGACTGGGGTAATCTTTAACAGCCAAAGGATGTAATGCTCTCCACCAGTAAACCTGAGTCTCAGAGCTTGGTTTGCTAAACGATGGACCACAATGAGAATGCGACAGATTCAAACGTGACTTATAGCTCACCTAAAAAAGGGGATGACTAACCTACAATTGGGTTATCGAAGATTTACCATCAAGACTTGTCTCATTTTCAGGTAAAGGTAAAGCTGTCCCTGTGCTTAACTGAATAAGCACTATGCCATGAACATGTATGGGGAAGTGGATGTATAGATCCACATTTTCTTGACCTCAGCACTAGTGGGAGGCGAGTGGTCAGCTTTACGCCCTGGCCGCTTTACCCTGGGGAAAGAGCCCAGGAGGTTGGGTGAACCCCAGAGCCAGTCTAGATGATGTAGAGAAGCAAAATTCTTACCTTACCAGGACTTGAACTCCAACCCCTTGGTCGTCCAGCCTCTAGCCAGTCGCTACACTGACTATGCTATCCCAGCTCCTTATCTCATCTTCAGTGATACTCTAATATCTTTATAAATGTAATTAAATAGATATTGGAGGACACTCATGAGACTCCAGAAATTCTTACCTCTTCTACCTAAGATCACATTCCTCTAGAACAAATTGGCAACACGGTGCCCTGGGCCATTGTTCTCTCTCTTTCACCTGAAATAATTAAATACCTTAAAAACTAAGTCTTTTGTCTGCAAACTCTGACAACTCAGGCTTCAGCCTTCCATTTTTAAAGCATGATGAACCATCATTAAAATTAAATGATGTCAGATATTTTATTTTCATAGAAGAATGTTAAAATGTGAAAGTTGCCATAGACAGCAGGTAGTATGAGTACCAAAGACTTACTGATACTGAATGATATAACTTCTCATCCTGTAACAATCACTACTGAGAAATTAACATTAATAACCTCATCTGAACAGTACAGCATTTGTGGTTGGCTGCTGCTAATACAGTGAAACTTCTCTAAAAGACCACCCCTTCACAGAAGACCATACCCATGTGACACACATTTTGTTCAGAGGCCACCTCCATACCCAACCAGTGACACTCTCTGAAGAGACACTAAACAACATGAAGACTTCAACTGATTTGTTAATTAATCATTTTATACTTTTATTTAAAAAGTTGCAGAACAGTGGAAAACATAGTTGTAAAAACCCGGATTTGAAACTGTAACCCAAACTGCTAGGAATTCGTCTTCAAAGACAGTACACCAGTAGCGTAATGCATGTAGTATATACGTACGCATCTGTGTATGCTTTTATTTAATTAATACTTCACTGAAGTTACCTATTGCTGCTATTCATGTAAATACGTATGAAGGGCAGTACACTTGTGCTATACAGTTGTTAGGTAACACATACGTATGGTTTTTACTGTAAAATGCCACCCAAATTCTCGCCCATACACCCACCATCCCTGTGGGGGGAATGGTCAGCAGTCTTCTTCGAGAAGTTTCACTGTACTCAGGGTCTTAGGTATCTTCATCTGCCTCCTTGCAGCTCAATAATACACAGCAATGAGTTTATGTTTATGTTTTTGAAGATGGCTTGAAATAAATGACTTTTGTCCATTGTAGAGATTGGACCTTTGTACAAGTTGCAGTATGGATGTGGAAGGACTGACAGACTGTGTAGATGAGCCATCTTCTAGGGGTAAAACTGATTTCAAAATATTACAGTTGAATCCTGAATGTTCATTCATGGCAAAGACAGAACTTACAAGAACTGTACATGACAGAAAGACTGACTTAAGATCTTGTCTATACAAAATGGCAATACAGCATTAGTAAAACAATTAAAAAATATCATAGCAAAATCATTACATTCATCATGTACACTGCATATGCACTGCAAGGGGTTGAAAAATATGATTATCGAGTGAATTTAGACTGCAAGTCTTAAGCGTATAATGTCTGCATACAAAGTATACAGATAATGAAGGTCACACAGGGTTTATATCAAACTCAGCTTCATCAACTTGACTTGGTTCATCCTGGTCTGTCACATAAGCAATAATATAAATTGACACATAGCACTGTCCAGTGTGATTGATTTATAAAAGTTGTATTTCAATATTCCATTTTCCTTAACATGTTTCAGTCAGGCTGACCATCTTCAGAAGGGCACAATCAACATTTAGGAAACCACCATTACAATCACACAATCTTCTTCCTTTAATGAGAAGATATTTTAAGACACAAACCATTGGTTCTAGTTTCAACAAAAAGTTTTTACAACCTTATTTTAAATAGTACTTGACTGTGTAATTAATTTAGTTATAATAACTTATAAATGTTCCAACCACTTCATGTACTTAATGTAGTTACAAGGTATAACTTTTATATATTGGTTTGCTAAATATTGACAGTGTCCTTCTCAAGATGGTCAACCCAACCAAATCACATTAAGAAAAATGAAATACTGAAATACAACTTTTATAAAGCAATCACACTGGACAGTGCTACAAGTTATTTTATACTCAGCTTCATCAGTTACTCAGGACTGCTCATTACAAAACCTAAATTAAAAACTTAAAATTTAATGTAGCCTAAAATTTTGTAATGTTTTATTCCCAAATAGATGTAAGATTATACCTCCATGATACAGCTGCCAGAACCTCATTTGTGAACTGAAATTGAGGTTGGAATGAAGGGAGAAGAGGCATCAATTCCTTCAGCCCATTTTAGGAGGCAAACTCTACTGGATGCAGTTGGTGACATTATGTGGGCTAAGAATAGCAGCTGCACAATAAATTAGGTAAGAAAAAAATAAAAGCTATTCCTGTAACAGGCCATGAAGGCCCATAGGGTTGTGGGATGTCGAGGTTCCCATATTTCCAATAGACACACAGCTCACAGATGGCAGTAAGGTTGTCAGCCTTATGCACTGGCCTCCCTTTGTCCCCAAAGAAGATTCCTGGTACTCATTTCTGTTAGAGGCTGAGTCAACCCCAGGGCCATATTGCAGCTGGAAAGATTAGGTCAATTGAAAAAATCCAATAACATCATTGGGAATCAAAACCGCGACCTTCCAGCTTGTAACACAGATAAATTAGTACACCTTCAGTTATAACATTAATGGCTTATTTTGGGCATCTACTGTTTCTTCTTCTACAACAGGGAATCTCAGATGTTTTAAGATTACAGTCTTCTGAGACATGAAACTTTATAGTCTTATACAGAGGTACAAACATTCTGGAGCAACCCAAAATCTTAATACCCACTGGCATGAGAACTTCAGATCCCATATATGGGAAAAATTTTGTTGCCTGACGTTTGCACTGGTGCACGCACAGCAGTGACTACAGCAATCAAAGCCAATAATTCTGACCCATCATTTTAGGCTATCAGAACAGTACTTGACACTTGATATTTATGTAAATTGTTAAAAGGATAACTTTACTTGGAAAAGGTAAACAACTCACATTCATGGAATAGCTTTTGAGTGTTTCATGTGATCAAGGTGAAAGCTATACAAGAGATTACATGAAACATCCTAACTCTTACACCACACAACAAAACAAAATCTGCTTAAAGTTTCTAAGCATGACTAAGCTTTGGATAAGGCTTCACAAATTCTGAATACCTGTCTCAGTTCTTAATCCATAGTCATGTGCAAACACCAGTGAGAGCTCTATCAATGTCCTGAACTGACATAAATAAAATTTGTGAAGGCATGTTAAAAATGACACATGGGCTGCATATTTTTCATTGTCTCATCATCTGATTAAAAAATGCTTCAAAAGCTGGCTCCAGTTCCATCATGCTGTATAAGTACACGACTTAACTGCGCAGGGTCCATTGGATGGCGCCAAGCTCTTTCAGACTTGTACAGTTTAATGCTTATAATATTTCTCATGTAGACACACTGACTGAGCTGTATTTGTTCGTGAACATCATCGTTTGTTCGTAGCATTCTTGAATAAGAACTGGGTAAGACAGGGATATCTGAAGCTACTTTATGGTATGTCTCTGTCTAATTTATTACTACTGATTTAATTTTCTCCATGAATATTTTACAATATACTCTGACTCAAGAAGAGACTTTTCTGATTCCTTGATGACACAAGTAATAATCCAGAATCAGTAATTAATGAACAAGGATAATAATTCTCCCACCCCTGTCCATGATATTATCTTGAATGCTGTGCCAAGTACATCTTGATAAAATTAAAAGCTAGGGAAGCTAGTGTTAGTCATACACTAGCGTTCCTAGTGCTGAAAATGCATGTCATTAGTACAGCTGCCTTGCATTTGTGTTTGTAGTGTCAGGCATATTTCAGTCCTTCTTCTTTGGCTTCTTAGGGTTCCGGCTACGAGATTTAGCCTTGCACAATGGACAAATCGGGGCATTTCGGTGAATCTGCTGATGACAACTAAGGCATGACTTCATAGGTGGGGGCTGTTGCCTGTAAATAATTATACAGAACACACGCTTAAAAATTTTAAAGTACATAGTTCTTACATACATATATATACTTGCTAACAAATGTATCTCATAGCAAATAGTGTTTCAAATTTCTTTTACATATTAGTTTGGAGACACCTTGCACGTTTGCCAACATATTAAGTACAAAATTATAAATAATTTTAAAAATTTCAATAAGACAAATATGTACAGGAAAATATTATTTCTCTACCGATGCATTTTTGTTAATTTCTGCTCTTACAGATAAAACGAAAATTACATCTTTGTGAAGTACACAGAATGAAACCTGTATTTAACATTTCTTTAGGGACCAATGGATTTGAATCAAAGTGAAAAAAATTTTAAATGGACTTTTCATCACTTGAACATTAGATTAGGGGGAAAACCTTAAACCGAGGACCATTAAATAGGGGTTCACTTTTCAGTAATTATATCCTGTTCATTTATGGTTTATGTAACAACAGTTTCAATAGCTCAGATTACAGTGTTAAATGATAGGATGATCAGTGAATTATGAACTGGAAAGATGTAGAAGGAAAAGATCATTGCCCAGTTTTTGGTTTCATCCTGGCATTTGCCTGAAGAGACTGAGAAAGGCCACGAAAAATCTGTCAGGATAGTCTACAGAAAAATAAGCCATGACCTTCCACATATGAAGCAGGGCATTAGGCACTCCATGACGACTTTCAGTCAATAATTGTATCTATTAAATAAAAGTTTAATAACCCATATGAACTAAATGTTGTGGTGAGGAAGAGCTATTACATATTTTCCAAGCTTTTATCTTAAGTTGTTAGCCATGACTAAGGAAACTGTTGCTTAGGATATTTTCTCCATGTCAGATTTTAACAAGGAATTTAACTATAAATCTGACAAGTGTCAACTCACCACATTACCTGGTTAGAAAATTTATAAATATGTTATTTTTATACCCCCTTCCCCCAATAATAAAGAGGGCACTTCCAGCAAAATATGAAATGTTGATCTGTTTAACGCTTCTCCATCTCACCTAAAAGTAGGTGCAGGACCTGGTGCAGGTTGCATTGGACGCTGCTCAGCCTTATTTGAGCTTTGAACCAACTGCATTGGTGGCTGAGTAGGGGCAAGAAATGCTGAAGCAGCCCCCTGATGTGCTAAAGCCAAAGTGGACAGTGTTGGTTCCTCACGCATTTCAGGGCGCCAATCAGTTTTGAAATGCTTTTCAAAGTAACTAGAGGAACATAAATCACAGAATGACTTACATATCATTAATATCCGAATGATGATATACACATGCAAGTTCAATGTCAGTGAAAATGTCCTCCCCTCCTTCACATTATAGTAGACATCAAGCCTCGTATGAATTCACACAGTCATTTCAGCTATCCCAAGGTCTGCCTTTGTCTTAGCATCTTTTCAGTTTACTGTACACTACACTGCTTCAGTATTATTTCATCAGTCATTGTTTTGTTTGTGTTTACCTATTTTGTTTGCAAGGATTGTACTTCTAGTTCTTTCCTAGCGTAATTTTTAAATTCCAGTCATCGAACATATACTTCCAATGAATGTAAATCTGTGTAGTTTCTCACAAACTGTCATTAACATTTGCATTTTAATAATTACAAGTAATTCCAGAGGTACACTCATATGTACTACAACATTTTGCTGTCCTGTTGAACTCCTTTTACTTTCTTATACAAGTAACGTATTTGTGAAAGTGCTGTGATTTTGAAAAAAAAAAAAATCTTTAGATTTTAACAAATTTATGCATTTTCAGCCTCCAAGAACATGAAAAGTGGTTCTTCAAATGTCATCTCTCTGCTTGTAGGTAAGTGTGCGTGTGTGTCTTGCTAGCACCTAAGTAGTTTGACAGATTTTATTTTTAATAGAAAGATAAATCAGAATTAGTATTATAAATGTATAATTAACTTAGCCATTTTATATTTGGTTTTCAACACAAGATGACTGCCACTGTAGTCTAGTGATCAAAGTTCATGGCTACAGATCCAGAGGTCCCAGGTTCGATTCCCAGTGCTACCAGATTTTCTGAGTAGTGGTTCTGGAACGGGGTCCACTCAGCCTTGTGAGGATAATTGAAGAGCTATTTCAAGGAAACAGCGGCTCTGGTACAGAAACCCGAAATTAATGGCCGTGGGGATTCGTCGTGCTGACCACATAACACCCTCTATCCACTAAAGTTGGCACTAATTTCGCCGACAAGCGGCAGTCGCTCGGTCAATATAGTTCACTTGCGGACTACAGACCACGGAGTGTGTTTTGTTTTTGTTTTTCTTTCCAATACAAGACAAAAATTTGCAGTCATTCTATTAAGAGATTCATCAGCAACATTTACACCATTTGCACAACAGAATCGGTATGTAGACAGCTAACTGAACATATAACATAACTTGATTTACAGTTCATATATATGATATTATATATATATACACCTGATGATGACCTATATACAGGTCGAAACATGTAGCATAAAATCTATGCATACTTACTTACTCATGGAGCTGAGCCCTTCTGGAGGAGCCGCCAATTCTGCAGATACTCAAGAATTTCCCAGCATTTTATGGAACCTGAAGGTTCATTGCCGTGTTCACAAGAGCCCTCCACTGGTCCCTATCCTGAGCCAGATATATCCAATCCATACCATACCACCCCAACCTATCTCTCTAAGATCCATTCTAATATTGTCACCCACCTACGCCTTGGTCTTCCCTGTGGTCTCTTTCCTTGTGGATTTCCCACCAATATCCTATACGCATTCCTCGTCTCCCCCATTTGTGCTACATGACCTGCCCACCTCATCCTCCTTGACTTGATCATTCTAATTATACTTGGAGAAGAGTACAAGTTATGAAGCTCCTCATTATGCAGTTTTCTCCATCCTCCTGTCACTTCATCCCTCTTCGGTCCAGATATTCTCAAGACCCTGTTCTCAAACACCCTCAGTCTATGTTCCTCCCTTAATGTCAGAGACCAACTTTCACACCCATACAGAACCACAGGCAAAATTATAGTTTTGTAATTCTAATTTTTATGTTTTTCTACGACAGACAAGAAGACAAAAGGTTTTGGTCTGAATGGTAGCAAGCATTACCTGAGTTCAATCGCCTCTTAATTTCCTCCTGAATCAGGTTTCGATCTGTTATCGTTGTTCCCAAATATCTGAACTGTGCCACATTTTCAAAACATCTGTTTCCTATCTTTATGTTATGATTTTTCCCTGCATTTTGGTGACGAGACAGNCTTCCTAATTGCATATTCTAAGGCAAAGTAGAAAAGGAGTGGCGAAAAAGCATTTCCTTGTTTTAAACCATTCTGGATAGGAAATTTATCAGACAAATGTTTACCTACACAGACTTTACTATACATTTCGTTTAAACACATTTTAATCAACCTAACTAGTTTCATGGGTATCCCAAACTCTATTAGAATATTGTACAATACTTCCCTCCTAACTGAATTATAGGCTTTCTTGAAGTCTATGAATAGCTGATGTACTGTCTCATCGTACTCCAATTTTTTCTCCAATAGCTGACGAACGCAAAAGATCTGATCTGTAGTTGATCTGTTATGTCAAAGCCCACACTGATGGTCCCCAATAATTTCATCTATATATGGACTTAACCTTGAAAGAAGAATATTGGACAAAATTTTATATGAAGTTGATAGCAGTGATATCCCCCGATCATTACTACAGTCAGTTGTATCACCCTTGTTGTGAGCTGGTACAATAACAGACTCCTTCCACTAGTCAGGCAATTTTTCCTTATGCCAAATAGAAGTAATTAGATTGTGGATCTTAGAACGTAATATTTTGCCTCCTGCTTGAATAAGTTCTGCCGGAATTTGATCACTACCTGGCGATTTATACCATTTCAATTTTGCAATAGCACGTTCAACCTCCTAAGGGCTAGGATCAGGTATTAACAGCTCAGCTGTATGAATTTCTGTTTGCCTAATAGCACTGACCCTATGTACATTCAATAACTGAGAGAAGTAGTTCCTCCACCTATTCAAAATGTTGTGGGAATCTGCAAGCAGATCACCATTTTCGTCCTTCACTAAGTTACTGCTAGGCTGGTAACCCTTCTCAAAGTCATTTATTCCTCTATACAGGTCTCTAATGTTCTTGTTCTTACTGTTCACTGCAAGCTCATCAATTTTGTCTTTCAGATATTCCTTCTTTTTGTTCCTGAAATGCCTGCTGGTTTTGTATCTTATATTGTTCAGATTATCCCTATTTAACTCGCTTGGATCCTGTAACCATTGCAATTTGGCCTGCTTTCTTTGATCTAATAATTTTGAGCATCCTTCATCGAACCATGGCTTATGCTTCTTCGGTTCATAATAATCTAGACTCTGTTTGGCTGACATTTTTATATTCTCTCTAATAGCTTCCCAAGTTTTATTAACATCCACCTCAGTGTCCAAGTTTTCCAAAGCCGCAAACCTATTTGAGATTTCAACACAATACTGCTCTTTACCGTCTACCTCATTTAATTTCTTGAGATTGAACCTCTCCATATGAACACTCTGTGTTGTTTGTTTGCTCACTGCCAGTCTTCCTCTACCCTTTGCCACCACCAGGTAGTGGTCAGTATCACAATCTGCTGCCCTGAATGATCGGACATCAAGTATGCTTGAGTGCCGTCTCCTATCTATCAAAATATGGTCTATTTGATTGTGTATCTTCCCACCAGGAGACGTCCAAGTAAATTTATGGATGTTATGATGTGGGAACATTGTACTTTTGATAGTAAGATGTTTTGATGTGGCAAAGTTTACTACTCTAACTCCATTATCATTACTAATTTCATGAAAACTCTCATTCCCAATTGTTGGTTTGAAAATGTCTTCCCTCCCTACTTTGGCATTGAAATCTCCTAACAAAGTTTTCATAGGGTACTTCAGGAATTTGTCAAATACATGTTCCAGTTCTTCATAGAATCTAACCTTTATGTCATCAATTTTATCTTCTGTTGGGGCATGAACATTCATAACAATCATATCACACCAGCGACCTTTTAGTATTATATATGATATCCTATCACTAACGAATTCTACCCTCTTAACTGCTGATACGATTCTCTTATGTACAAAAAACCTGTACCTAATTCATGATTTTCATTCTCCTTTCCATAGAAAAATGTATATTCGCCTGCTGGTGGGATGCCACCTCCATCCCATCTGACCTCCTGTAATCCCGCTAAATCTAACTTATATTTTAAGATTTCTTCTGGCACTGCCCTGAGCGAACCTGCCCTATACAAACTTTGTACATTCCAAGTGCCAAATCTCATATCCATCTTCACTAGCTTAGGTCTTTTATCCAGGGAATCAGTCCAGGTCCGAGGCTTTGTGTTCACTTTCGTAACATAATGATTTTTTATGGTGAGGAGTTGTTAGCCCCACGTCCAACCCCCAAGCTGGAGGGCCACCCCTTGTCGGCTGTCCATGAATGCTTATTCAATATATTCACAGCTTCCCTCCAAAACTGGAGGGCGTCTCCTCCATCCGCAACCTGAGGACACGCCATGCCGTGGTGACAGACCCACCTAACATGGAAAATCTATGCTTATACAAATAAATAGATTTTCCTCTTTGTCTGAAGATCTCTTTCATTTATTGTTGTGTCAATGGTCATATTCTCAGATTTCTATACGCACGACAGGATGAAATCCTGTTATGAACAAGACTACCGTGTGGCAAATTATACAAGATCTGACAAACATTTTCACCATTTCTGTATAACAAGCATTCACTTACTGGGTATGAATTCAGTACAAGTACAGTCTACACTTAAGAATCTTGTTTCTTACTCTGGTGTAATCAAATCTCCTTCTTCCTCGTGAAGTTCGGGAAGCCTTTCCAGGCCCAAGTACTCACGCCTCATACGATCAATGTCCAATTTGAGTGGCCTGTACTCTTCATGTATACGTTTGGCTGTATCGAGTGCTCTGTTACGAGATTCTTCTGCCTGCTTTATGACGTTCTCCATCTGTAAAGAACAGTACAATCATCAAATTGTGCTCCAACATATACAGAGTCTGTTGGAACAATTTCCTGTTTTAGAAGTAGGCAGCTATAAGAAACTTTCAGTAGCGTTGAATGGATGGATCACTTTTCACGTTCACTTCCGTCTTTAATGGAACTCTGTTTACACTATCTCAATAATTAAAATTAACATTAAAATCACAATCATCTGCTACATGTGGACATAAAAATGATAACAGCATGCCAATATTCACAGGGCTAAACAAACACAAAAATCATGGACGCCACAAGGGGTGGGTGGCATTGGAAAGGATAAAGAGTTATGTTCCCAAAGAAATGTGTATTAATGTGAACGATGAAAATGTAATGGCACTGGAATGTTTTAAAGTGAAAAGTGAAGCAGTGCACCAGTTTCAACAAGTGAACAGCTGCCAAGTAAGGCCAAAATATTTAGCAGTTGATTGTGATTTTAGTGCTATTTTATATTAAGGAGACTGTGAACAGAGCTGCATTAAAGATGGAAGTAAATATATCAACACAACAGGATGCTGAAATGCAATTGAATGGATGGATGATGGATGAGTGATGAATTGGAGAGGATCTGAAAGGAAGAAGTTGTGACCTAAACGACATACTATCTCAGTGGAAAGCTGGCCAAGTGAGCATCTAGGGTGGGAGCAACATTAATGTCATTCTTAGGTAGGCTGCACACCGTCGTATGTCAAGACATGTAACAGTTAAGACACAATGCCTGCGACATGACGCAAAGATAGGAGGTCAGTTGAAACGAATGAAATTATGAAAACCGCTGCACACCGGTCTGAATCATGATGGTGATGTCAGCTTCATGCTGATGAATCATGCATGAAGCAAGACTACATCTTCTGTCTCATGTCTTGATGCCTGTCTTGACGCAGTTAGTGTGCGGCCGCCCTTATGATGACTCAAATTGCAATTGGCCTAGTATTCACAGGAAATAACAATTTGGCATTGACATTAAATATTTTGACTTCATGAATCACACCTTGAATTATAGAATTTGTGCTGTGAAATGGAACTGATCATTGAAAGACCAGACTATTTTATGTATGGTCACAATAGAATCAGTGGCCAAAACATAATCACAAACAGATACTTTGCACATGAAGCTAAGTCATTAAGATTTCACCAATTAATTATGCATAACACACAACTACTCACAGCATTTATATCTGCATGGATTTGCCTCAGTTCTTCAACATGGGCCATCTTCTCTTGCATTAACAAATCCATCTCCTGTTTATATTCGGATAAACACTTGTCTTCTTGTTCTGTAGCTTCAACTTCATGAATTATTCTAAGTTTCATCTTCTCCAATTGAAGGGTCTTGGCCCTGTCAGAAGAACACAGACAAATATTCATTATAATGTCTATGGGTTGCTGTAGTTCTGAAATACCTGCCACTGGAAAATGCACCAATGTTCTTGTGGTTTTCTTCTACATGGCCATTATCTGCAATACAATACAATACAACTCAATACAACTACAATAAGAACTCATGGCTTTAGTTTCAGGGATGACAATGTATTAGGATGGCAGTTTGTCAACTACAGCCCTTACCTAGTAATATGAAATGTAAAGCTCGACAACTGCAAGAGTAGAATTGAAAATAATGTGGGAAGAAGTGGTGATAGTCCATTTCAGCTACTGCTGCACGTTGGACTGGATGCATTCAATTGACAATATTTGGTCCACTACAATATTCAACTATGGAGACAAATACAGTGCGTACAATCAAGTGCGCGCCGCGGCTGCAATTTGCCNTATACAATATCTTATTTTAAAAATACAATCATGGCAGTCATATAAATGCTTTAAGTGGAAATAAAAATAACAGCATTCAATTTACGATCTTTAAATTTGTAATGGTAATAGATCTCTGGGTCATGTTACTTTTAATACAGCCATTTTCCAGAAAAACTTAAAACATGTTACAAACATTAAAAATTTTCAGCTTCTTGATAACAGTTGAAACACTGTAAAAGAATACTGTATTTTTTTTCTGTGGTTTTAGTCCGCAAGTGAACTATATTGACCGAGCAGCCGCTTGTCACTGAAGTTAGTGCCAGCTTTAGTGGATAGAGGGCGTGTCGCGTGGTCAGCACAACTAAACCCCCAAGTCCGTTATTTTGTTTTTACAGACGGGAAAACATTTTGTATACTGACAATGTATGAATGAATATGATAATAGGACATGTGGTATTTACTTGTATATTTATTTTTGGTTTATTTAGAGATCCTTAAATTGTAATTTTGTTTAATTATAATTAAACTTTATAAAACTATGGCTAACACAGCATTAAAATACTGCTTTGATATACAGATATCAATAAAAAAGTAGAGGAAAAAGATATAGACAGATGAAATTAAATTTCTTAGGAATGTGGTGAATTGCATATAACAGGATCAAATCAGAAACACCATAATTAGAAACAAAGCTAATATACCCATTTTTTTTATTTGTTTCATTGTGGTCCGTCACACTAACAATTACAAATACAAATCACTCCGTCCAATGTGACATATAAGTTTTACTACTAAGTTTTTAAACAATATCTAGAAAATTTTTTTTAAAAAACTTTACAGTACCAGGAAGCTGCTGTGATTGTGAAACATTCAATTCTATGCGTACTGTGCATTATAGGACATGTGTATGTAATTAAATCAAAACACGTATTGTGATAGTAGTTTCCAGCTTGTAATGATGTTCCCTCCAAAGATGGTCCATAAGGACCGAAACATGTAAGGGTTGATAGGTTTTCATGTAGTAAAACTTATATGTCACATTGGACGGAGTGATTTGTATTTGTAATAAATCCAACTCGAATAACAGAACTCAGAATAACAGACTTCACTTCATTTATCATGCTGAAAGAATGGAACCTGAATGCATTTCAAAACAGTTAATGTACTATACACCTAGAGGAACAAGATCCCCTGGATGCTGGAAGTTACGCTGAAAGTATAAGTTTATCTTTGGGAGCAACAGAGTGCACTGAAAGGTCCATATGTTGATGTTGATGAGGATTAATAATGTTGTCAGTAGCTCAAATTATATAGCACTATAGCATTACATGGAATGATTGTTAGTGAATAATAAATCATGATACTATCCCAGCATGAAGGACTGGGGAAAACTACGAAATGTTAGTATAGCCAGTCGTCAGGTAGAACATTCAACTGGACCTCCCAAATATAAAGCAGGCTGCCACCAATTATATCACGTCAAATACAAGCTGTGCTAAATTCCAACGAAATAAAATTTAAGTCACGTCTCTGTTCACATACTGCTATGATTATAATATGCACTAATATTGGAGACTGTCATAAATAATTCAACCACTGCCTGAACGAAGGACACTTCACAAAACTACACTTCCAGTAACCTACCTCAATCAGAAATGACAATGAACTACCCTTAAATGGGTGCATGCGACTTCAAAATTAAAAAGTTTCGTAAAACATCCCCCTCCCTCAAAATGTAATCGTTACTGGGATTCTTTGTTAATTCCTCACCTAATTTCCTTCAGTGCTTCCAGTTTTGCAAATATAGTTCTTTCATCAGTGGTCATGTTTACGGCATCACCATACAGCGCTCCTCCTGCAGTACTTTCCGCATTTGACACAGAACAATCGTAAACAAACCTCCGTCTCTGTTTTCCTTTGCCACCGTGTTCACCTTCGATGCCTTCGATCGCGTCCGATATACTTCTACATTCCGACCACAAGAAGCGCTAGTTGCTCCGTAGACTACGTTACATTTCCGCTAGATGGTAGTTATGTAGTTAATAACTCATGGACCGCGCGAGGGAAATAAACCACACGTTAATTGGAGAGGAATTTACGGTCGTCAGAAGAGAGTAGTATCAGTACAGAAATAATTGTCATGTACCACGTAAGAATGTGAACTCAGATAACTAGAATTTCATCAAATCCATCAACAGATTTAGGTAAAGCTGTTAGGATCCACGTTAAGGAGAGAGCAGTAGCGTCCATTAAGGACATGCCACGAACAGTTTCGAGGCTCACCCAAAATATCTATGACTGTTAAGGGCGTTCATGGTAAAAACAATCTCAGTGCTAATGTAGGGAATTCATATCATTTGGCACCATCCCACAGAAAGCGACCTAGAAATGTGAGAACGTATATATTGCTGCCGAAAGAAGCTATCCGCCTTTCCAAATGCACAGTCTCTGGGCTGGTGTGCGTACTTACTTTACTCTGTCGAAGACATAATGCAATCTACTGAAATCCACCAATCCAGCAGACCCTTCATCGTGCAGCAAGTAGCATGTCGCTATACCGACTGAGCTGAATCCAGTTTAAAATGTACAACTATTGCATTATCTTTGATCAAAGTTCAAAATTAATTATGTTTTTGTTCTCGTAGTTTAATGGCACTCAACATACGAGAGCTGTATGATGTTGAGTATAAATTATTTTGTAAGTTGAATCATTTTGGTGTTTCTACAAAATTATTAGTAGCTGCATAAGAAATTCCCGAGAGATCGATCACCATCGATGACTCGATGACGATCGATCCATCGATCATAAATCCAAAATGGCAGTTCGTTCAGTGCCGAATGGTGATGACAATCAAGTTTTCATCAATGATAGTGGCGAAACAAGTGAGGTAACGAGTGCTTGTTGTCATAAATTTAAAATACAACACAGATCAGCACAAAAAATTCTTGAACTGCTACGAGAAGAGAGAAACACGCCCAATCGTACCGTAAGTACAGACTCATGTTACTTCCACAGTTCGAAATAAAAAAAAATAAAATAAAATAAATAAATAAAATGGAACGGGGTTCTTGTGTTCATGAATATCCGCTGGAATACCTGGCTAACCTGACTTACGTCTCTTCATGGTTTGTCACAGTACCACCAGGCAAATGTAGATTGGACTTAGTATCCCTAATCAGGTGACAAGCACCAAGACTTTTGAATACATTGTTTACTAATCATCAGCCATTTGATACTCTGTAGTTTCTGCTACGAAGTGTGTTGTGAAATCATGAAAGGAAATGTGGTGCAGGAACAGTTTTGAATGTTATTAATAGTCGGACATAACTTTCAGCAACAGAAGAGATACTGTCCACCGTCAAGATTGAGCCCGATGACAGCGAGCTGGAGCTACGGATAGCCCTCAAGAAAGCACGGAGGCTGTTACAGAATCAAAGAACAGTGTAGAATAGGTACATCACACCGGCAGATTTTCTTTTTAATCCTCACAAATGTCTGGCTGTAGTAGGGATCATTTCTCTTGTTCACTCAAGGCCATCTTCACCTCTCTGCTTTTTCTCCCTGAGACAAGAGAGGAGCAGCCCTATGGATAGGTGGTGGGAAGTAATGAAATTGTCCCTAGCTACAGAATCCTGTGCCATGTTTAGTTCATACATAGTGTCTCCAAATGTTCCAGTTATAAAATGTTGCACAGAACTTTGTAGTAAAGTTCATTATGATGTTTCCTCCATGGTTACTGTACAAAACCACTGTACCCTAGAGAAACTATATTGTAATTTAACGTGAGGGCTATTAAATTGTTTCTCTCACAGTTTGTTATGGTGGGCCTCAAACCAGTAAATCATATGTTCACATTTAAATAATATTATCATCCTTTCTTACTGTGCTACAAACTGAAAGGTCATGGGTTCGATTCCCAGTTATGTAATTGGATTTTTAGATTGACTGAATCCTTCCAGTCACCCTATGACCCTGGGGTCAACTCAGCCTCTAACAGAAATGAGTACCAGGAATATTCTTGGCGTGTAAAGCTGACAGCCTCACCAACATCCGTGAGCTTATTGTCGAGAAAGTATGGGAGTCTCGATGTCTCGCACCCCTATGGGCCTCCATGGCCTGTTAGAGGGAGAGCTCTACTTTTTTTATACTGTCATTGTTTCTTGTATTGTGGTTATAAAGTAAAGCTATCCTTGTATGAGACCGTGAAGGCCCATAGTGTTGTGAGACGTTGAAGGTCCGACATTATCTAGACAGTCGGCTCAAAGATGGCAGTAAGGTTGTCAGCCGTTTGCGCCGGCCGTGCTTTACTCCCCAGGAAAATTATTTAATTAATTCCTGGTACTCATTTCTGTTAGAGGCTTAGTCGACACCAAGGCCATAGTGTGGCTGGAAGGATTAGGTCAATTGAAAAAAATCCAGTGACCTCATCGCGACTTGAACCCGCGACCTTCTGGTTTGTAGCATAGCCCCTCAACCAAGTATTGTGGTTATTGAGACCTATTATGGCCTCCTGTCAAATAGGCACCAGGGGCTGTTTCCCCGGGTGTGGGAGTGGCATGGAGCTGGCCACTCACCTCTATCTAGAGCATAACTAATTAAGCATAGGGACAGCTTTGCATTTATGGATACTACAAAACAGGATGCTGTATAACTACATAATTTGACTCTTTGCGATTTGTGATGTTTGTAGGTGGCAGAGTAAGTACTGGGAAGAAACTCAGAAGGAAACACAGAAGGTGGTTCCATTGTGCTGAATGCTACCACAGCATTCTGCTGTACATTGGGTGACATCCACACTTATGGTCTGGCTGGCAACACAGATGAGGACTCTCAGGAACTACTTGTGAGTGCAGTATAACCATCCGCAGATAAATGTACACTTGGCAAGGCACTTTGATTTAGCATGTGTCAAGACAAGATACAGTCCATTGCTCATGTACAGTTACTTACTGCAGCTGCAACAGTATTAGAATATATTTTAATTAGAGTTGAATTCCCTCCTAATGGATATATAAATTACTGAACTGGAAACATCCAACAGAAATTAGAAAGGAAAGCACTCGTTATACAATAAGAATGTGATAGTTGAGCTGGTAGAACCTTTTTCCTCTTCTTCTTGAAAAGTGGTACCTTCTGGAACAAAATGCTGTATAATGTGATAATGTCCATAAGCATCTTGGAGGAATGTCAATGGACTTACAGGATGTTACTTCCCATAAGATAGTGCCTTTCTTTTTTCTCCCTGTGCCATGTGCAGGATACAAGGGTAGAAAAGACGTTACTAGGAATTATATGTGAAATTGAAATAGGGATGAATAAAGAGCTCAGAACCAATAGTTCTTGTAATTTTATTCATTGCAAAGTGAATTGAATGTTAATCGTCACAGTATTCTCACTGCAAACTCAGAATTAGTTTGGCAGGTGTACATTGCTTGGCAGAATGAGAGTATGCTTCTAATAGATCTGTAACTTTAAAGGATACTAAAGCATATTAAAAAGATATTTTGGCAAAGAAGTTTCAAGATGATCAGTATAGCCAGAAGAATTCTGTCTTCTGGGGTATCATCTGAATTTCCGGGGGAACATGTCACCTGAATCTTCAGGGTCAAGGAATAAACGAAACAAGAAGCCAGCATGAAGCAGGTAGGAAGCTTGGCTTTGTTACCTGCCAGTGCTGGTTTCTTACTTGATTTATTCTTCAACACTGAAGATGGAGGTGACATGTATCTGCAAAATGTCTCGTGACTTTCGACAGACTACACGGCATTATATCCTAAATGACAGAACTCTTCAAAAACCACTGCTGTCAGAAGCTCAAATCCTACACAGTGTAGTTAGTACTTTACAGTGCAGTAATTTTAAATACAGTGGTTCGTGGGTAAGCAGTTGAGATTTCAGTCTATCTCAAGGTAATTTTGAATTGGTAATTTTTGGACTGCACATTTGCGTTCTGCTAATCTCGTACAAAATTTACATTACAGGACTCTGAGAGGGAAATGATTGAAGAGAAGAAACGTCAGGAAGAAGAAGGCAAATGTGGAGCTTGGAATGAAGTTTTGATTGGTGAGTCATTATCAGATTCTTTATGTACAACATAGGCCTATTCAAATTAAGAGATATTGACACTTTAGTATTGATTTTAATTGTGCGTTTATATTTTAAGTATTTCATAAATGGTGTACCATATTTAATCATATACTGCAGTTTTGTTAGGGGTTTTAGTAGAAACACATTAATCATTAATGTTTAATATTAGTAGTGGTAGGATAGTTGGTTGAGGCACTATGCTACAAGTTAGAAGGTCCACGGTTCAAGTCCCAACGAGGCCATTAATTTTTTTCAATTGACCTAATCCTTCGAGCTGCACTATGGCCCTGGGGTCGAATCAGTCTCTTAACAGAAATGAGTACCAGGGATTTTCGGGNTTTTTTTTTTAAACTGTATAGTGTCTTGTTATGTAATGAATGTCACTCATGAAGAATGTCGTCTTCTGGGATGTGGCACTGTATAGATATTGTGTAAACAGATGTATTGGAGGAATGTATCGCCTCTATCTTCAGGGTATAAAAATCCACAAGGGAGAAACTAGCGTGAGCAGGTGGCTGCAGACTAAGTCACCTAAGTTTTCCTGTAGCTGTCAAGTCTTCACTGCAGCAGGCTTTAGGGAAAGGAATTGTCATGGGCACAACGATCAGCCACTTGCTTTGATTATGGAGTAGAGTAGGAGATTTTGAAGGGTAAAGAATATCTGAGCTTTGAACACTTTGTAATCTCCTCTATAACTGGATTGCAAGTCTTGTCTTGTCTCTCGGGACTGACCCACTTGAGTATTAGGGAGGTGTACGTGATGGTCAAGACAGGACAAAGTAAGCAAGGAAGACTAATTAAAGAATTTAATATATGACATTGCTTTAACTTTTTCAGAAATGATGAAAAGTCTGGGCATTGCAAGCACTACAGTGGTCCGACCTCAGACTTCAAAGAAAAGGAGGGTTACAAACCAAATGTTAAACTCGACTACATAGATGATTGCAAAGGAGGCTTTCAGGTCAGCACCGATAATAGCATATCTGTTTTTAAAATAGGTCACACTATGGATGGATGAAGGAATGAATGTAGGGTAGCCTGTCAAATGGTAGTACATTCTTTAGAGCAGAAAAAGTTTCCACATTAATTTCCATTTTAAGAAAAACTTCCAAGGAGGAAGCAGATTTTCATTGAAACAGACAAGATTATGTGACTAACGTGTTTATCATCCACATGTGCCATCCTCACGATAATGTGTGAACCAAATGATGAATTTATGTGAAAGTCTGTATTGTCATCATGCCGCTCACATGTTCTTTTAGTTGTTTACCATCAGCCATATTAACATGGTGACTGAGGTGGGAGCAACACTAGAGCCACTTAAATTAGGTCTTTAAGAAAAAGGTGCTGGGGTAAGCTGTTATACCCATTCAGAAGGTTCTGAGTTCGATCCTCACTCGCATCTGTGTACAGATTTTTCTGCTCACAGATGATGCCGTCATATCTACCAGAGTTCGAGCTTCAGGAATACAAAGGATACCCCTTCCCCTCCTCCCAGTGGGTTAGATCCCATGTTAAATTGTGAGGTCCCTCTGCTGAGTAGCACTATCATGGGTGGTGAGATTATTGTCTTCCACATCAGATGCTTTCAGTAGAAAATGTAGATATATACGTGTTGTTTTGACTTCCTTTTCTCCCATTCTGTATGTGACCGTTTGTAACCAGCCAACATATTGTGACATTTGAGTGTGTAAATACTTTGTACTTGATATAGTTTGTTGTGCAGGCATAGAATGTGGCAGAATGGTTCATTTTGCAGATAGGTTGCATGAATTAGGAAGGAACATGCCTCGAAATTATTACTGTCCCATTATAATTTTATTACAATATTTTGTGTTAATCATTTCAATCCCTATGACTTTAATGTGCTGTAGCATGCCTGTTTCTGGTTGTTGGCTGTATGAGTAAGTTGTGTTAGAAAAAGGAATGTTACATATTTTTATTATTTCACAAAATAACAGATTGAACTATATATGGATCATACCCTTTTTTCTGGCTGAAACTTCAGGATGAAAAAATTTTATGTGTTACTTGGAAACATGACCACATTCTGTAAGATCCTAAAATACGGTGACTTTAATCTTGTCTCTATTTCTAATTTCAGATACCTGTCTCATGAATTTCATGGAAAGGTACCTGGCAAAAATAAAGTGGAGAAATGAATGAAGAGAACTGAACAGGAAGGAGTGAGTATCAGTCCAGATCTGGTCATGAGCTCTTATTTCAAATACAAGGCGGAAGGTCATGGGTTCAAGTCCCGATGAAGTCACTGGATTTTTTTCAATTGACCTAATCCTTCCAGTTGCACTATGTCCCTGGGGTCAACTCATCCTCTAATAGAAATGAGTACCAGGTATATTCTTGGAATATTCTTGGGGGTAAAGGGTGGCTGGCACATAGGGCTGACAACCTTGTCGCCATCTGTGATTCGATTGCCCAGAAAATGTGGGAACCTCAACATCTCACAAACCTATTGGCCTCCACGGCCTATTACAGGGATACCTTTACTTTACTTTAGTATATTGTAGCACTCTGCTGCACTTCATTTAGTACCAAATTGTTTCACAGTCTCACGTACAGCATGTCCTTCTGTAAAACTTCCTAAAAGTTATTCACTGCATGTTTTGATGTATAAGGTCATTATCAGGTGTTTTAAAATTATAAATGAGAAAACTGCTGTGCTTCCATATTGTGGTTGTTGGTCTTCACTATGCGGTCCCTTCTGTGAGCATGTATATACAAAGTGGCGGGTTGTTATGCTGCATGTCCCTCTTGCACTGCATAACACAGCAGGCAGATCAACAAGCCACTTCGTATATACATACGCATACAAGGGACTGCATAGTGATGACCAGCAACTACAATATGGAAGCACAGCAGTTTCCTCAATTATAATTTTAAAACACCTGATAATGACCTTCTAGGTCGAAACATGTACTGAATAACTTCTAGAAAGTTCTATGGAAGGACCTGCTGCACGTGAGACTGTGAAACCATCTGATGCTATTTCTAAATGGTGCTCCATAAGGAAGCAAATTTTAGTTATCGTTACATGTCCACGAATCCACATAGCAGATATCCATCCACACTTCTTGTGCGTTTATTTTCTGCTGACTACAAACATACGCAGTAGCTTCAGCCCTGGGACAGAAGCGAATACTGCAACTTTGTGGCAAGTCAGATGGAGCCTCCTCATAAAACACACAGCATATTTGTACCAATTGTCATTAGGCTAGTAGACATAGACACAGACCATGGGTTGGAAATTGGGAGGAATTGATGACTTCAAGCAGCAGTATATATGGACAAATACCGTCTTAAGTGCAACAATTTTATTGTAGTTTTTACTTCTTTTTCCTCTTCCACACTACATGTTTCGGCCCTAAATGGCCATCATCAGGTGTGTATCACTCACGCAACTGTTACACTGCTTGTTAAAAATTTAAAAACACCAGTCTTTCCAATGGTATAAAATCTTTGTCAATCTACACGCGTCAATTTGATCTTTAAATTAGCACTTTTTAAACCCCAATTCAAGTTAAAATGTCTATAAGATCTTTGTTCTCTTTCTTTTTCAAATTTTTCAATTAAAGTTTTTCAGGGTACATGCCCTATATCTACGGTGCTGCAGCGGCCACTTCTTGTTTTTATCGCCGTTCATGTGTTGTTCAGTGTAGGCGCTCTCTGTGTGTGTCGCTGCTTATCTTTAATACGTGTNTAGATGAAACCAGTGAACTCAATTCAAAATTTGTCTAATCTTGACATTGCAAACAACAGTAATTTGTAGCTTTAACTTAAAGGCTGAGTAGAGGTGAAGCCATATAGTAATGTCGATAATGTCATATGGTGATTATACTCCTGCAAAGTAAATATTTGTTTTTCTCTGAGCCTGTCACTTGTCTTGTTATAATTTGTAGACTACACTGTACAGTGTGATTTTAATGATGGATTGATTAATAAGACTTTCCTCCTTGGTACTGTGAAGCTTTACTAAAAATTTATGTTTTTGCTGCAGAATATGAAATTCAATTTTCAAAAAGAAAACCACCATGTGAGGTTTTTGTGAGATCTTCAAGTTTAACATGAGCATTACTACATTTTCTTTCTTTCTTTCTTTCTTTTTCAGGGCAACCATCTCAAAAGCAAAACTGCAAATTCTTCATGAAATACACTGGCACCAACTCTGAACTTTCGCGTGGACTTATGTTTTTATTGTTTCTTACTGTCTGGAATATAATCTCTATTTTTAAATAAGACACAGCTTGCAGCTGCCGACAGTTCCTATGTGTATTGGAAGGAAGGCCACAGAGTTCATTTCACATTCAAATGAGTACAGTGGTTCTCCTGCTTCCTTAGGTAACCTGTTGGCACCTGTAAGCTGGAAAGTACAATTTGTAGTGATTAATTAGTTGCTTGCTTATAGGACTTGAGCCAGATGAATAGCCTCTAAGCTAAATCAGACATGAAGTAATTATATTTGGCATTTCCTGATTGCAATAGCAATATTGTATCCTTCCAAGGGAAGAAGGAAACCCTTGTTTAGGTGTAGGCCAGTATGAAAAGCTGTAAAATTGTACAAGCAACAGAATCAGAAGATGTACGGTCTACTGCAAATCATTGTAAAGCACCACTGATATAGCACTGACACATTTGTAATGGGTTATAAATATAAGTTGGTTCATCCTGGTCCGTCGCACTAGTAATTGTATGTAAGGGTTTTAACCACTGTCCAGTGTGATTGATGAAAGTTTTTTAATTTTTCATCCTTTACATGTTTCGGTCAAAACGACCATCTTCAGAAGGATATTATGAACACGTATGGAAACTGCTGTTACATGTCATACATATATATGTCATATCTTTTAACTAATATTAAGATGTACATTGATTTGTTAAAACATCTAAAAATGATTACAATTAGTCTGTTTACAAAATAATGTTCAGTATGTGTCTATATGTCTATATGCTGTCGTGAATGCAACAGTTTATTCGGTTGTAGCTCTTTGTCTTTTCTTCCTCTACACTTCACGTTTTGGCCACAACCGGCCATCATCAGGTGTATTTTTTACTACGTAGCTGTCACACTGCACACAATCTAAAATCTAAAACACCAGCCTGTCAGTTTTGTTTAAAATCTCGCCAACATACACTCATCAATTTGATTTTAGAATTCTAATTTAAAATGTAAAATTTTATAACTTTTAAAATTCAAAATTTAAAGTTTTAAATCACAGGGATATTTCTTATTTTCAGCACCGTTCATGTATTATGTTTAAGGCTCCCTGTGTATGTGTCACTGCCCATCTTTAATCACCAGACAGTAGCGTTTAAGAAATAAGAAATAGCCTCTGCAGCACATGTGGACACAGAGCGGGTATCCGTGTAATTTAAAACTTTAAATTTTGTATTTTAAAAGTTATAAAATTTTACATTTTAAATTAGAATTCTAAAATCAAATTGACCAGTGTATGTTGGCGAGATTTTAAACAAAATTGACAGGCTGGTGTTTTAGATTTTAGATTGTGTGCAGTGTGACAGCTACATAGTGAAAAATACACCTGATGATGGCCGGTTGCTGCCGAAACATGTAGTATAGAGGAAGAAAAGACAAAGAAATACAATCAAATAAATTGTTGCATTGACAACGGAATTTGTATTATTACATACAGAAGTGTATAGTGCAACAGGATGCTTAAATAAAATATAGTTCAGTATTTGTTTTAAACTAGAACCAATTTGGCTTCTTGTCCTTACACTTTTGTAGAATTCTAAATGTTTTAGCAAATAAATTACATCTCAATATTGTTAAATGAAGTAACATATATATCTATGTCATGTAACAGTAGTTTCCATAAGTGTTGATAATATCCTTCTGAAGATGGTCGTTTTGACCGAAACATGTAAAGGATGAAAAATTAAAAGCAACTTTTATCAATCACACTGGACGGTGGTTACAGATCTTATATGTGGTTATAAAAGTCCTGTTTTTAATCCACATGCAGATAATCAAGAGTCTTCTGTAGGTACACGAAAACTCGAAAGACACGTAGGCTCAGCTGATAATATCAAGTCATGAAATTGTGTAAGACTGATCTTAAGGCATCTTCTTGGAGGTGTTGGTGATGATTTGAACCCAAAATTAATATATAAGTCAATGCTGAACATTATCTGAAGTCTGAATTGTAATCAATAGTAGAGTGAATTTACCGACTACACAACACGTTTTTTATTATTGCTACATGTTTCGACCTTAAGAGGTCATCTTCAGGTGTATGAACACGGCTGTATAATTACACACGGTCACATTCACTTTTCACTCATTTCACCCTGTGTCTTATCCAGACTTACGTGTTGTGTAGTCGGTAAATTCACTCTACTATTGATTAAACACACAACAGGATGCAAGAAACGATCCTGATGTGTTACTAATCTTCACATAAGATGGTACACAGACAGACTACAGGTGTTCCCAAACTTACATTTTCTTGATATCAGTAATGCATAACTGTAAGCTGACAACCTCAGTCACATATATTCCAGCCACGTAATTATTTAAAACAGTTTCAATATGTTTTAGTCTTTGTTAATAGAAATTAACTTGAAATCACATTATTACAAAATTTGTTACGGTTGTGTATTTCTTCATGAAATAAGGGTTATAATTTAAAACATGTACACCTACTCCATTAGGTGCAAAAAGAATATGTTTTCCAGTTAGTGTGGTTACTTCCAAGGTTGGAATTATGTGTGGAGTTGATTTTAGTTTGTAACATTCTCACTCAGAGCAGTCTGTGTATAGTAATTGATGGTTGTTAATATCCGTACTTTTTTTTTTCTTGGCACTACAGCCCCAGTGAGCCTAGGCCTACCTCCATGAACTTCTCCATTCACTTCGGTTTTTCTAGATCTTACATATTTGGTAGGACCCCTTGGGCAGGTGATCAGCTCATCACAAGGCACTGTCCGTCCTTCCCATAGGTAATTAATTTTTCAGTAAGTGGTATTCAAACAAAAGGTATGAGACAACTGAAGATTTTGTTTCTTTATTGGTCAGTATCCTGTTGAGAAAGATACAATAAAATAGTTTTACTTGGTGTAGTATTTAATGTCTAACATCTTTAGGAAAAATGATATAAAAATGCTTAAATTTCATGATATGTTTGTATGCACTCAAAGTTTCACTGTAAACTTGAGGTGGCCACGTGCAGTTGGAGCCCAGGCAGGGCCACTGAAGCTTCAGGCCAATAGCTTTAAATGGTTGCAATGGTAGACTTGCCATTTCTCATTAATTTGTACAGATTTCATAACAGAATCTCCACTGTGGTGAAGAAATGCTCAAACAACGCTCTGACAAATTGATTTCATTATGTAATGTAATTCATCTGCATTGATCACAGTTCAGTTTAATCAGTACAGCACAATTACTGTATGGTTGTAGTGTGTCACTATTTCTTGTTCATAAATGGAAGTACAGTCATCTACAAGCACCAATATTATGTGCAACATTTGAGATTTTGATGGCAGTGATCATGAGGAAGTTGGAAGTGACGCTGTATAGGTGGGTAGGAGTCCCCCAATATTTTGGAGGAACGTAGTGCCAACTTTGTAAGAGTAGAATTCTACTACATACATTCAATCACATCCTGACTTTTCTGCAATATTATTGAGGGCAAGTCTTCTGAAATGTAATGCTCTGTAATTTGTTTTAACCAACACTGCAGAAAAATATACGAGGGCAAATCGAAAAGTCTTTGCCCCTATATTTTTTCAGCCGCAATAATACACATACAGGGAAATCAAAATACAGGCAGTGTTCTAAGTACCTTTGAATATTTTTCCACATAGTCCCCACCCCAGTTCAGGCATTTGTCCCATTGCACCACTAGTTTGGAGATGCAGCTGTTGTAGAATTTGGCCAGTTGAGCGTGGAACCACTGCCGGATAGCGGTTTTCGTGTCATCTTCGGAAATGAACCTCTGGCCTGCCAGGAACTTCTTCAGTGTACTGAACACATGGCAGTCACTGTGGCGAGGTCTGGACTATAAGGCACATACTCCATAATCTCCCATCCGAATGACTGCAGTTGGATGGAGGTCCTGTTTGCCACATGAAGCCTGGCGTTGTCATGGAGGAGAACCACAACATCAATGAGAATCCCTGGGCATGACTGCAGTCATTCGGATGGGAAATTATGGAGCATGCACCATATAGTCCAGACCTCGCCCCCAGTGATTACCACATGTTCGGTCCACTGAAGGAGTTCCTGGTAAGCCAGAGGTTCATTTCCGATGATGATGCGAAAACCGCTGTCTAGCAGTGGTTCCGCTCTCAACCGGCCAAATTCTACAACAGTGGCATCACTAAACTAGTGGTGCAATGGGACAGATGCCTCAACCAGGGTGGTGACTGTGTGGAAAAATAGTCAAAGGTGGTTAGAACACTGCCTGTATTTTGATTTCCCTGTATGTGTATTTTGTGGCTGAAAAAATAGGGGCAAAGATTTTCGATTTGCCTTCATACTTTCTCCATCTTCAGGATGGAAAATTGAAGCTGAAGGCATTGTATTCCTCAGAAATGTCATTAAACTTCTACCAACCTACACAGTATCATATCCCGTATCATCAGCCAAATGAAACTGCTGTTTTTGGATGACATGATTTCATATTGTGACTTCAAACATCTGTACCTACGCAATCTAAATGTCCGATATCTGGAGTCATCCTGAAGATGGAGCCACACATTCCACCAAAACATTAGTATCCACCTATCAGACTGCAGCGTGGTATGTTTCACCAGCACACTGGTATCCGCCTGCCAGACTACAACACAGTGTTATAGCACACAATGTCCCCACCAAGGAACTTGATTATACAGCTTTCCAGTTTTGGCAGGAAAGTTACATCAGGGACTTGTAGCTGAGATGGGGGAACACAAATACTTTTCATTTCCATGCACCCTGTTGTGTTATTGTATACAATTCTTTATTGGAGTCAGTCGTAACACAACAACATAATGGTGAAGGCTAAAATTACCTAGCTACACATTTTGGTTTCTTAAAGCCATCATCAGGCAAAGCACATGATTACTAATTCTGTCTGAATATAGTAATGATGTGTTTTGCCTTATGATGGCTTTAAAAGGCCGAAACATGTAGCTGTGTAATTTTTACATTTACCATTATGTTGTTGTGTTACGCCGGACTCCAATAAATAATTGAACACAAATACGTGGAATATATTTGTTGGAACATGCTGGAAAGCATCCACTTGGCAAAGCAAATGTGGTGGAAGGAAGATATCAAACCAGATCTTGACAAAACTGGGTA